CACAGACGCCGCCACTACCACGACACATCAGAATACACGCGTTGGCGGTGCTGTGAATATGGCAGACAATGGAATGAGGCGGGAGGGATGAACTAATCCCCGGCTCTTCTAAATCCACGTCTCCCTATCTCTCTCTCTCTCTCTCTCTCTCTCTCTCTCTCTCTCTCTCTAAATCTCCATTATCTATTTCCTCATTACGATCACTTTTTGCACTTGTGCATTCACTGCCAACACCGCCGCCCACGTAGTAGGCGCTGGGCAGGTTGGGCGCCGGGCCACGTGTTGAGTGGGTGGTGGCTGGAGCACAGCGGAATTTTTGGCATTCTTTGAGGTCTGCGACTTTGTTTTGAAGGACCATTGGAGGTATCGACACTCAATCTATACCCATGCGTGAAGTTAATGGAGATTTTCAGGTGACAGTACGCCACAGTACGTTCTTCTTCTTGTTTGTCTCTAGTCTGACCCAATATCTCAATGCTTATGCTAACGCCCTTGAACACTCTTACGAGCGCAAATGCAGTGTTTTTAAATCGCTATGTAATCTAGCAATATTTTTCGGCCGGTCAGTCTCAGGTCCCCTCATTTTTCAAGCTTCCCCCGGAAGGCTACAATTTTTGCGTGACGCCTTGTTTTTTTGGAAATTTTTAAAAGCTGTCCTGTTTTTTTTTTTGAGATTTCTCCCTTCCTCTCTCTCGCTCTTTCTCTCTCTCTCTCCCGCTCTCTCGCTCTGGCGTTCTATCTCTGTCTCCTTCACTTGCCAAAGCGACTAGCTACAAAATATTTGCAGTCAGAAAAGATGACACTTCTTCCCAAGCCCTATCTGCTAGCTTCTACATCCGTGATAACGCTTAAAATCTGTATAATCAACCGAAATTCCACTTTTTTCGTCGTTTGCTGTATATCCAATTTAAACTTTGCGCCTGCCGTTTCATCAGCCCACAAAATAGCCGTTCTTTTCCGGCTAGGGGCCGCGCCAAACACCGTCATTTCGTCGACTACTTGAATGGCCGGGGGCCAAGCCAAACATGGCGGCTGACTCGAGGGAGCCTTTTCGAGATTCATCTCGGCGGGAATGGCTGATACTCATCCTCCACATCGTCGGATTTATCCCCCTGTCTCATTGGCCCCATGATGCTTCCATTTTTCAAAAAACCCGATTTTTGCCCTGAAAATTGTACGATTTAGTCCATAAACTCCGAGTTTTCAGATGTTATTAGGATTCCTAATAATCAATACTGTTAACAAAAAAGCTTTCCAGCTTTTCATTCCAGTAAATTAAGATTTTTCCAGCGATTTTGAATGGCGTTCAGGCTCTGTATACTTAATATTGATTAAAGTATGACAATAATTTTTGTGAAATTCTGGTTTAATTTTGTCTACCACTGGAACGTCATTTCAGGGTTAATCCTGGCATGTGGCGCGCCTTACTGGCCGCCCTCCTCGTCGCACAGTTTGCGCGTGCACAGGTATGTTAATGGGACATTTGGACTTTTTGAGGTTGTCTTAAACCTAGATTCTGCGGATTATATCTTTTTTAAGATAAATAAACGCTTGCGTTTAAAGACACCTATTCAGGGCCCCAAACCTGTGAAATTCCCTTTCCAGGACGATTTGGGCTCATCAGAAGAACTCGTTTTGGTAGAAGACGGGCTGTTGCGGAGGATATTGAACCCCAGTGAAGAATTGGAAATGGACGGTGAAGGTGCGTGAAAAATAGAAGGACACAGGTTCCGAGGAAGTGGGATTCTATATCGCAAATTTTGCAAAAGACCACAATTTGAAGGGGCTGGGAAGCTTAAAATCGATCCTTTTTCTGAACTAAATCTGGACCCTACGTAATGCGCCAAATAACCCCCAGCACACCTTTTTTCTACACAGGAAACGCGGCATCAGGTTATTTTGTTTGACGAAAAATCAATTTGTCGCAATTTCGATGCTTTTTTCACCTCGCTTCTTCATTTCGGATCTTGCAAATTAAAACTGATGCGCGTTGAAATTTCCCTATAATAATAATTCGGCAAAATGCAATTGGAACAAATTTTTATTTCGACAAAATAAAAATGAGCAGATGCCGGGCAGCGTGCTTATTGTTAGGTGTAAACTGCCGGCGTCCCCTTTAAAACGCTAATTTCCCATTTCCAGGACCCCGAAAAGTGATCAAACGATGCCGGTGGAAGTTGTGCGGAGCGGGCCGTCGTTTCCGCTACAACTAGGGCTTGTTCGTCAACGAGTTTCTCCCCCCTGCTTCTTCTGCCGCCGCCCCTCGTGCAAAGAATATCTGCTCTGCCCCCCTTCTCAGAATTTCTAGATACTCCCCCAGCTCTTCTCGCTTTCACTTGCCAGCCTCAAACTGACGTTGATCTCCGTTTCTCAGCCCTTTAAAATTTGATTTTAACTTTTTTTGGAAGCATCTCGCAGCCGTGTACAATATCCGCTTGAACTGTGCCCCTATCTCTCGTAAAACTGATGAGACTATCACCCCCCAGAAATGGATTGATCAATAAAGTGGTTATTTGTTGAATGTGAAAATGCACCGGAAGAGTTGTTATAATAAAGTGTGCCTAGCCTTAACAAAATTTCACAAAACTTCATGCATTCTAGGTCGAAAAACCAAATTTTTTACCAAATTTACGAAAATTTCAAGTATTTTTCAAGCTTTTGAAAGCTTATTCTGCTTTCAATATAGTTAAATTTTACCAAAAGCGATATAAAAACACTTTATATTTGGATATTAGACCAACCTAAGCCTAAAGGAAAAATTCGGCTCTACCGTACCAACGCAATCTGGAAAGTATTCGGAGTACTGTAACGTAATGACTAATTGTTTCGCCATTGCTATGAATAAGGTTAAGGCAAAGCTTGGCAGCAACAAAAATCTGTTCGAAATCGCCTTATAGCTCACGGCCATCAAAATTAATGGGAGAGCCGACCAGATGTTTCAGGCTACTCCGCCGTTCAGTTACGCTCCGCGGATCCCAGCAGCCCTAAAATTTTGCATTATGCGATCCGCATCGTCTTGTCAAGCCCTGTTCCGAATTATCTGTAGTTGCTAAATTCGTGGCTGAATCTAATGAGCTCAACGAAAACTTACAAGGCGAAGTTTTTGAGTTGAGTTTTCTCGGGGGTCCGATTCGGGTAACCAATTTTCGGGAATAGGATTTTTGGGATGTATAAGCAGACCCCGTTTCAAAACACAGTAAAATTAACAATTTGTTGACGTTACCATTGATTGACTTCTCAATCGGATTGGATCCCCCTCCCCCATCGATAAAGTTGCCCTTGCGCCCACAGGCCGCTCGAGTCCCTTTCGCGCCTTTTGACGGTACACAAACAGTCAAGGCCTTCCCGGTTGGCCCTAAGAAGAGTAGAGAGAGGGTGAAGACAGTATGTTTGATGTGCCGGGTTGACCCACCCGGTACCTCTACCTATCTGGCCCTAGGGGGGGGGAATGGTTGACTGTCTTCTCTTGCCCGTGGCCACACTCTCAATCCCATTTACCTTCTCAAGAAAGGAGCAGCCGGGGTGATCCCTTTCGCCTAGAGCACTCAACTATTTTACCCTTATCAGTTTATCAAACTTTATTTGTTAGTGGAGGTTTCATACCTAAAATTTCTAGTTTGCCTACCGTGACTTACGTGACCCTTTAAAAATTGACCGTTAATTGGCAATTACAAACCTACGGATACAAACTCCTGCAAAGCGACTTGAAGAAGAACTATGGATTTTCAAGGCTTTTCAAGCCCCTAAAATTTGCATTTTGTTTGCGGGACACGCGATTTGACTGAGGGCGATCGCCGCTTGTGGATCCTAACCCATCACGCAATGAAAATGAGGCTACTGTCGTGCGTGTCGCGAAGCGGCGAAATTTTATTAGGAACCATGACTAGAAAAAACCGATGCACTGGCTGCATATGGAAAAATTCTAGGGACATTTTGTGATTACTAGAGCATTTTTTGGAGTAATTTATTTATACATTTAGTATAGTTTATTTATACATTCGGTATATTTTGGCTGAAAATCTTAGCTACTAATGCGACGATGTCCTAAAATATGCAAATCACAATTCTGCCGCTCGAAATTTCTTTATTGCCGAATTATACCCGGCTCAAAATTATATTACGTAATCGACTACCAAGCTGGCAAACCGTCCAGAAATCGACGTTTTGCTCCCTTTTTTGATGGTCCGGACGCCAACAACCACAAACTACACAATATTTTCCAAACATCATCCTACTCCTGAATCACCTATTTTTGCACCTACAAAAACGCGACTAATTGGCCCACCTTCGCCTTATCCCGAGGTCTGGGGGCACAAAAATCTGCGGTGCTTTTCGGCGAATCTCCACCCCCCCCCCCGCATCCACGGCCAATTGGCTTTGTTAGTTCGTGTGCTCTCGTTTTGGGGAAGTGGAAATATCTGGCCCCTCGACAATGCTCACATCATTTTTGGCGAAAGCGGCAAATGGGGGTGTGGGGGATGTTGGAGCAATCTTTGAGGAAGTTGCGCGAGAAGGATGTAAGCGAGTAATAATTGGGAACTCTGGAAAAACTTCCGGGGCCGGTATTTCCAAGAGCCAGGCCTACGGAAAAATTAAATGAAATGTGTAAATAAGTGATATGAAGCTGAAAAATAACAAAATAGATGGGTTAAATTTAAAGGGATGGGCAACGCGTAATTGCTCGGGCCCGATCAGTAGGGACTTTAAATGGACGCACCAGCCATATTGGTGTTCTTTCCCTTTGGATTACCTGAACGCTTTTTCGCTACGCGGCACGCGACGCGCCACACGGAAAGACTCGATCCGTGCATCCAAAATCCATCGTTATGCCTTCCCAGGCCCTTTAAAAGAATTCATTGAAACAAATTAAAACGTAACATCTCAAATGTGTAAATTTTTGGTCGATTGCCTTTCAAACAAGCCAAAATTGCAGATATTTTTAATTTTGAAATTCGTCTTCTGAAATTAACGTCGAAGCTTAATAATTTTTAGATCTCAGGATGCGGTTACTGTGGGTCTTCTCATTTCTTCTACTACTCGGCACTGCCACTTCCTTAAACCTCCTTTTATTCCTGATCGGGACTAATCAATTCGAGAGAGGAACTTTTGAGTATTTGGCCCAGCAATTGGCCTTGAGACATCATAATGTAAGACGTTTTTAATCATAAAAACTCAATAAAAATCTAGGTAATTACCGTCAAGCCGATTTTGATCCCAGAAGAACCCCGTTTGGTGAAGCCGAAGCTTCATTTGGTGCGGGAGAAGACGATGAAGAACTTGTTGACAAAGTGACTTTTCGGAGCCATGAAAATCTGAATTTTTAAGGCTATGAAGTTGCGGCCTAGTAATCTTCGACTTTAGAAAACTATACGAACCTCTTGAAAAAATTGGGGACACTGTGCCGTGGAGTCAAAACTATGAACTCGACAAGATGGAGGAGCCCTATTGGGTTGGGCACAATGCTTCTTGCGTAAAGGTAAGTAGTACCTCCAACACGATACCTTAACTCTCAATATAAATTTATAGATGCTAAACTCGAACCTGATGGACCAACTCAAGAAAGACGAGCTCGACGTCGTGATTGCGTACGCCGGAAACCCGTGTCAACTGGCTTTGGTTCACGTGATCGGAAAGCCAGTGATCTATTTCGATCAGGAAGGTGACTAATGAGTAATTTATAGCTTTTCGTGACGTAATCTATTAAATTCGACTCTTTATGCTTCTTGTCCAGGCCCCTTTAAAAAGCCCAGGCTTTAGGCGGCTTTTGATAGCGTAATCAATAAAACTCTGGTGTAAAATTGTCCTGTCCAAGCGCCTTTAAACGCAAACTTCAGGCCTGACCGACGAGACGCTGGTTGCTGCCGGAGCCTCGCCTAGCCTAGACTATCCATCTTCACACTGCTCGTTCCGGCCGGTAAGTCGTTTTTAGTATTTAGCAGCTTTAGTACGGTATATGTTTTATCGTTTTTCACGGTTTAATCAATTGTTTCAGACCCCTTTGCTCCCCCTCAACCGAATCTTCAACGGTATCTGTATTCTGAAAGAGTACCTGGCCCAGTCGAGGATTCCGTTTTTGGCATCGATCGTCTCAAGGAGGTAAGAAATCGATTCCTACGATTTCCTACGATTTTTTAGGTATAAGCACCTTGACCAGGAGATAACGAGGATGTTTGCTGAGGATTACGAGATTAAGAAGAGGTAGAAGCGTTCTGGTTCTGGCTTATGGTTTTGGTTGGAATCCAGATAAATTGCGGCTGTTCAGGTGTAAGGTTATGATTCTATTTTAGGTTCAAGCCATTCCCGGACGTCAATGAACTCAAGGGAAAATCAGCTCTATTCTTCGCCAATACCGATCGGTTATTGGAGTACGAGCGGCCACTTCCACCCCATGTAATTCCAGTCGGAGGAATGCACATCGACCATCCGAAGCCGTTGTTTGCGGTAAGCTACGTTTTATACCTTGGGTAATCCAGAATGATTCTTCTTTGATTAATCATTAATCTTTGGTCTTTTGAAACTTATACAACCGTAACTGGTTATACCAGAGTTTTATCGTCATTTGAGGCCTAACAAGCTATCGTAATCGGCTGAACTCCCCCAGTCAAGAATCATCCTTAGGTCTCTACCAACTCTCGGCACACACATGTATTAAAATTTATATTTTCAGCCCTGGAACACCTCGATCGAGTCGGCCGAATCCGGGATGATCATCGTTTCAATGGGTACGCAGGCCAACTCTGCAAATATGCCCGAATATATGGTAGGTTTTTGCGTCCTGCCCAACAAAGTTTTGTAAATTTCAGGCCCGGGCCCTCTTCGGTGCTCTTTCAAAGCTGAAGAAATACCGTATCTACTGGAGGGTTGGGCCTACAATCAAATTGGCCGGTGTCGACGTCGAGAAGCCACCCAGCCATATCAACTTCACGGCTTACATTCCGCAGAACGATTTGCTGGGTAAGGAAGGGGAGCGAGAGAGAGCAAGAGCGAGAGAAAGAGAGCCGAGCGAGAGGGAGAAGCCGGAGTGAGTGAGAGAGAGAGAGAGCTATTTATATACACGTCATCAACCACTTTTTAGCTCACAAATCCTGCAAACTCCTAATCACCAACGGTGGTATGCTATCGATCATGGAAGCGGTGGCCCATGGCGTTCCAATGGTCGGCATCCCGCTCTACGGCCAGAATCGGCATAATATGGGAAAAGTTGCGCACAGGGTAGGCTTCAAACAACGGAAATTGACGTTAATTTCAGGGCCTTGGCGTTGTCGTTGAAAAGCAGGAAGTCTCGGAGAGCACAATTTATGCAGCCATCAAGAATGTGTTGGATTACCCGAGGTAAGTAGTGCCGAGTAAAGCACCTTAAAGCGATGCGCAAAGCATAGCTATTCTTTTGGCTACGCATTCATTGTTGCTTGGACGCGGCGCGGCGAGGCGCAACGCAACTTACAACGAGAACGCGCAGCGCTATACGCAACGCCATACAACGCGACACGCCGTGTGCTACACAACATGATAAGTCACACGGAACGCGATCGAGCGCGTTACGTGGGGGTTGCGCGGCAACCTGTTGGGTTTTTCTCCCCTTTAAAAGGGGGATCGCGTGCAAAGTTTTGTGATAAAAAGATTGCAACATAACGTAAAGTTCAAAACAGCAGAATAAAAAATACTTGCCTTCTTTTAGCTTCAAAAACAAGGCGAAGTGGGCGTCGAAGGAGTTCAAGGCGAGGAAAAATACTCCGTTTGAAGAGGTTGGTCGAGGAAATTTTATAAATGTTTCTGGGCAGATTCTCCAACGAATAACATTTTTCAAGGTACTCCACTGGATCGAGTTCATCGCCCAACAACAGGGAAATCCTTTGAAATCGCCAGCCGTTCATCCGCTTATTCAATTAGCACGTCATTTATGTCTAGACCTGATTTTGGCCGTATTTTTCGTGCTCTACGTACCGTATGCTTTTGCGAAATGGTGGGTTTTAGCTTAAATTCCATGTAATTTAATTTAGGAAGTCAAAGCCTATAAATTTAACTAGTTTTAGGTACCTCCGAAGAATGCTGAATCGAACCACTTCTACCCATCAAAAATCCATCCCATCAAAGTCTAGCCTCTCGAAGGATTCCAACAATAATGGCAGCGAATCGAAAAAATTGAAATAATTTGCGAATACCATCCATATTACGTGTATTTTATAGTATTCGGAATCTCAAAAAATCGATGATTAAATGATAAATAATTTATTAAAATATGTATGTTTGTACAGACCCGATTTCATCTGAGTTAGGGTAGAAGGACAAGTAGTGGTGACCAGAATAAGTTAATGAATAAACGATACCAGACAAACTTTACCTTATCGAGGCCTATATATCGAAACGTAAGGGGATACAGTCATCTTACGGTATAACCGGAAAGTCAGAGTAAAATTGATGATAAGGATAATTGCGAAAATGGTGGCAAAAATAGATAGCCGCTGAGCGTGGGCGAGGAGATCGTGTTCGAATAGTTCGTAGCAGCCCTGAAATTGGGGAAATTAATTGCGTAAAAAATCGGATAGTCGAAACCGTACCAGTTGATGTCGGTAGGCGTCGGCCGGGACCATGCCGGGCAGCGCTCTTCGCCCGGTGCACACTTCCGGATCCGGAAATATCTCTGAGGACCGGTCACATTTTTGGGCAGCTGAAAAATAGACGTTAAACAGTAGATTTAAAATTCCGTTACCTAAAATACAGACTTTCTCAAGAAGCGTAGCATTTTCGACCGAGACTTTGTCGAGCAGGAATTGGTAGCAGAACCTAAACCGTTGATTTTTATCTCGCAGAAAGCTTGTAGGTTTTAGGTTTTTTTTGAGTGCGACAGGACTTCCACTCTGCTTGACGTACTTTTCATGAATTGTTCCACAGGTCGGACAGCAACTCTCTGGTACTAATCTTCGAGGGTATTCGATTTGAGAGAGTAGCCAAGCGGACGATCGATAGTCCTTGGGCCCTTCTTCTGACATACCGCAGCAAGCCAACTGAAAAATAGCATGATTGTCACTAGCCGTCTCACTACTTCCGCTTGATGAGCCTACCTACGGTCTAAGCCGGCAAGTTACGAATCAGCAAGTCCAGTTTTCCATTAAATCTAGACTAATCCGAGCCACAGCGCTAAAGGTACACTAAAGTCTCGTTGGTTTGGTTACCGGCCGGTAAGCGTCCGCGGAATAGCAAACAGGGTTACGGTAGGTGCTCGCCGCGGAGCAAAACCGAACCCGCGCCGCTCGCCTGGGGCAAGCGCCAGAGACCAATAGGCCATGGAACAGACTGGAGAGGGGAAACGGAAGGGGATAAGAAGGGTCCAGGCGTTGCACGGCAGAGGACCCGGATTTCTGACCGCGAACTGACTTTTTGCACGAGATATTAGTGTACTTTTAAGAACAAGCTAGATCTATGGCCTAAATACCCACTTTATGTCTTGTCTTCCGGCCTAAGTTAAAGGTGGCCGAATTGTGTATGTTAAGGCTAAACAAAAATAATATTATAGATGCAAAATTTATACCTTGCTGTACTACATAGTATTTGTAGTATTAACGTTATTTACCTGTCTTTGCATCGAGTCCCAAGCTTCCGTCGCCTGCTTGTTATCCGGGTGCCCGTACTCGCTTTGCAAGCTCTCGTTGGCCCAGGTTTTCACGTAGCCAGAGAGTATCTAAGGAGGTATGACGTAAAAAAATTTCAGACATACATCGTTTTGCATTACATATCCAAGCCCCAGACTGGCTATGCAAAACATCGACAGCACACAGACAATCATCATGTGCTAAAAATATGTATATTTTAATCCAAAAAGGGTACGTAGACTTTAAAGCGAGAGCTATAAAAGACTTACGGCTTTCAGTAGATTTGCATCGTGTATAATCGTCGCGTAAAAACCCAATGGCGCCGAGGCAAATGACAAAATTCCGACCAGCAACGCCAGGCCGGCCGAATAATTCAAACTATTCGTCCCGGAGATTGGTGACGAATATCCGTATTCGACGAGGACTTGAATGGCGAAACCGAGAAGACCGATGGAGAGCAGCTGAAAAACGGTAATTTCTGAAAGTTGGGTTTTGCTAACCATAAGCATCGTGTGCCCAGCCAAGGCCATAAACTTCGATACTTGTAAGCTCTCTTGGAAATTGGCTGGGGAGCATCTTGCTGAAAGGGTAATAAGTGCAGATTTTAAGGATAAAATATGCAATAAATGGCTTTTAGAAACCCAAAAAATGTTTAAAATGCTTTTAAAGGGTCTAGAGAGCGCGAAATTCGAGGGTTGTGCCTGCTGGATGTTGGCAGTTACGCGACGCTCCAAAACACCCCATTAATGGCTTAGAAAATTAGCGAACGGATATTGCTTGGGCTAGGCTTAGGTTTAGACATCAGCGAATGTTTAGGCTGAGGCTGAGGCCGAGGCTTAGACTCAGGCTGAGGCTTAGGCTTGAGCTTAGGCTTAGGCCTAGGCTTGAGCTTAGGCTTAGGCCTAGGCTTAGGCTTAGGCTTACAATTTGACCTAGGAAATAGTTTAATGACAGCGCGATGACGCTCGAGCTATGACTTACACGAGGCGTTTTTTGAGAGTCCAAGGAATTTCAAAATGCACTCAGTTTTATTTTGTGCAGAATTTTTTTGCTGATTAAACTCGCGCTTTCAGAATTTGCTAAACAATTAGAATAAGAAACTTATGCGGTTTTAAATAGCGAAAAACCGTCAAGGTGGGCCATTTTGGGAATTTGTCGCACTTTACACTTTCAAACATGGTCGTTTGCAGATTCTGCGAGATGCGTTTTGAATAGCAAAAAAATCTGCACCAGATAGGCTTGTTCCCATCGAGACTGGATACTCAAAAACGTCTCCTTGTTAGCCAAAAATGTCTCGATTTCGGCCTCCTGTCACACTCCCTTTAAATTGGGCTTTGACCTACCCAGCGGCATATTCTGTATTCTGCCAGGCTGAGTAGACGTAATTGTTCAAATTTGAAATATCGATTGACGGGCCGATAAATATGGTTGGTGGATGGATGGACGGTTTGGACGGGATGGAATACCGGGTGGAGGGCTGTGGGGTGCTTTTCGAGGAGAAGGAGGACATACAGAACTGTGCAAACACTTCCTCTACCGCCACACGCTCGCTGGCCCACACAGACAACCATCCAGATCGCGCACTTTGTGCTCCTAAATGTAGGAAAATGGGCAAGAAGCAGTGAGAGGCAGTTGTTAGAAAAAAAAGTGGCCCGATCGATGGAGCTTCCGCTTTCATCCGCGTGATTGAATTATTTTTCAAAATCTAAATGATTCTTCCAAACAACGACCATCAAGGGGTTTTGGGTAAAGGGTTTTGGGTCGGGGTGGAAATTCGAGAATTCGAGACCAAGCCTATCTTGTGCACAACTTAAGATTCTGCGGTTTTTCGGGGTTGCAGCGAGCTAATTTTCCTCATGGCCCCCAAATAAAATGGCCGGAAGTAGCGGTTTTAAAGTTTTTAAAGGACACGTTCAGGGACGTTTTTTGGAAAAAAGCAAAGATTTTTGCCGCGGCCGGGGGGTCGAACCCGGGCCCCCCGCTCGGGAGGCGCGGATGGATACCAGTCAGCCACAGCTACAACCTGGCGAGGGGGCGGGGGCGCCCCACGCCGCAAAGGAGAGGAATGGCCTGTCACAGCACGGGCAGGCAGTGCGCGCGGTCCCTACGTCCATAGGGTGTACACGTTGGGACGAGTACACGGCCCCTCCCTGAACGTGCGCTTTAAATGCGTTATAAAGTTACGCAGTTAAATAATAAGTTTGGCAGTTTGGTGGCAGTAATTTTTGGCAGTTCGAACTGCCTATAGCCACTCAGAATCTCAGGGGCAAGCTTAAAACAAGAACAATTTTTCAAAAAGCTTAAAATTTTAGACATTTTGAAGCTTCGAACCAATTTTGGAAATGTTTTTGTTGGGGATTTTAGAGGAAATATGCAATTTGATCTGGCCCACAAGCAAATCGGTAGTTAAATTAAAAAGCAATGCATTATTCTCTGCGATACAGTATAAAGCACGCAAATTTCTCAAGCGGATATAAGTGGATGTTTCCGCCCTACATATCCACACCATATAAATTTTTCCGCCAAACACCAGCAACCCGGTAATTCCTGGGCACAGTGCTTCCAAGTTTTTAACAGGATCCTGAGTTTCACTTAATTTCTTACTGAATTCCTTTACAGATGTTAGCCTGCTTATCGCCCGGGGGGAGGAGTGATGCTGGATCCACGATTTTCGTATTTGCCGCCCAACCAGACACAGAAGGGTCACAGCTGGCCGGCCGGTCGATAAATAACGCGTAACCGATTTTCGTATTCCGCTGGGCTGCTATTTCCGATCTACAAGGTAAGTTTTTGCCTAGATATCTTTGAAAAATATCTATAAAAACTTATAGTTGCTCCTCATTTTTTAGTTTAACGTTATCCGCGTTTCTTTGTGAATTTCGAAAATATTTTAGCGATTGTAAAGCCAAAAAGGCAATATAAACCTATTCAAATATCTATAATAACCGATTAAAATCTTTTTTAGCCGATTCTACATATTTATTACGTAGATTTTCTGGCGTTTTTTTTCTAATTTCGACTTCGCGATTTTCGTAAATTTCGAAAATATGTTTAGTGGCTTCTTGTGGGCGGGAAGAAATTCATAAATGAAGAAAATAGTTTAAACCGGCGGTATTTAATGCGTTTTATTATATTTGACGCTATCAAGTTTGCGTAAATATTCAAACTATTGTCACGGAGAATTGCCTCTTCAGACTTTAAAAACCTACCGATTTTAATTGTTTTCATACTTAATATTACTAGTTAGACATTGTTCACCATTTTTGCTATTTTATCGATATAAAGATGTATTTGATACCTATGTATATTTAGGCCAGATGTCCCTCGGATTTCTGAATTGCCCCAAATGCGGAACGCCCTTCGACATCGAACCGAATCGAACCCACAGCCCGCTGGCCACCTGGGGCGGACCAAATTGTCAGAATTGTATGCCACTTTGGAAGGAACATCAAGCGGTCTGTGTGATGGACCAGTTGAGGCAGTCGAACCTAAAAAAGACGCGGGAAGGATGGGTTCCCACCGGGGCCATCGAACCTTGGAAATGTCCGCGGTGTCAGGAAGCTTTTACAAGTAAGAGGCAGTCACGTTAAAGGCTTGCATTTTTGAAGCAGCATCCGTATCTTCAATCGTGTATTTCGATAATGAAGACTCGTTCGAGGAGAGAGAAAGAGAGAGAGAGAGAGAGAGAGAGAGAGAGAGAGAGAGAGAGAGAGCGGGTTGGAGAGATACTTCCCGTAATTCCAGCCAAGAATCTCGATTCAAGGAGTTTCATTTTCAGACCAAGGCATCCACGACCCGATGCTATTTGAGGCCTGCTTGCATCTGATATGCATTTCCTGTGAAGCGGCGAATCCGCGTTGCGACTGCGGGCGATCTGGACCTGTCCAGAGCGCCGACCGATTCAAGCCGCTTATCCAGCGATTTCAAGAATACGTCAGGGGCCCCGAAAATCGGCGTAGCCAGGAAAAGGTATGCAAATCTGCTTGTGCGGTTAGAAGAAACCGAAAAACATTAAGGTGGTATTTCATAGTCATTACAAATGTCTCCCTTCAGGAAAAAGCGCGCTGGGATAGTTTGACCAAAAGGATGCACCTGGGACTCCGCTGTGATCGATGCCACGAGAAGCAGGAACCTACCCAAATCGTCGCCCTGTCCTGCTTGACGATGGTCTGCCAGCAGTGCTACGATTTTGTGGACGTGCAGAAGGCCTGTCAACTCTGTAGGGAGCCATTGTACGAACACAAGGATTCAAGCGAGAAGATACTGTGGGAGATGGGACAGCGAAAGGCTTTGAGCGGTAGGTCATGATTGGAAGAAATTCCGCATGCCTCAGAAAGGTCGTGCGTTACAAAATTAAAGCGGTACCGCCACGTGCTTTCCGCGCAAAAAAGCCGAACATTTGAGCAGAAAAACTGCTTTTTCGGATGGAAATCCAGTTTCTGGGCGCATGGCATTGCTGCATTAAATGTCGTACTCTCCCCTAGGGGAACTAATTCATCGATCTCGGAAATCCGCGCGGCCAGTTTTAAAAATTGGAATCGGTAAAAACGGTTTTATCATTTCAACAGCTTGATAAAATTCCGAATTCGTAAATTAGCGTATTTTTACGTCCAAACAGGGGCTAGTAATTGTCGAGCGCGATCAGGTTACGATGGTTTTTGGTCATCGCTCGCTTCCAGGAATCGACGCTGGGGGGTGGGGGGGATGGGGCCACTTCCAGACCCTTAAAAAACGCTAAAAAACAAAGCACATCTAGAACTTTAACCACTTTTTCAGGCGACCTCTCCTTCAACTTCAGCGACACCGACCCGCTCGAGCTTTCCCCTAACCATGCCCTCAACCCAGGGCCCAATCGTCAAAGACAGATGCAAACGTTGCAAGCGCGAATTCGAACTGCAAGACCTATTCGCCTGCCCACAATGCAAAAATATTGTCGTCTGCTCGAGCTGTATAATACGTGAACATCGAAACCATGAGGTCGTCGACCTGGAGGTCACCAGATTGAGGGAGCTGGAAGCAAACGTCAGCCGGGACTTGCCACGACGATTCGAAGGGCTCTATGGAAATATCGCCACCGTCCATAAGGATATTTTGAAGAATCAGAAGGAGCTGCTGGGAACGACGACGAGTAATCTGAAGGTAGGCACGGTGATTTAACGACATCCGGCGTATTTAACGATAAAGGGGCTAGGAAGTCTAAATTTAAGTGTCCAAGGATTGAACCTATTTGTAAAAACGAAGTGATATTGCCTAAGTGTACGGAAAACATCAATTTTATTGCGAGAAATGGACAACTATTTAGAAAAAACGATATATTTTTCGGCAAATTCGGCCCTTTCGGGCGACCTAGGATTACATGTCGTAATACGCTCTAGGATACCGAATTGCTCGGTTTTCGTTGCATATAAAACCAATTTTCATCAATAAAACAAATAGAATATCAAAAAATGCCTGAGAATACCAGCCGCGATGTCAGAATTTGGAAATTCGTACGTGCGTAAGTCACGTGAAAAACCGGCGTGAAAGACTATGCCGCGCATTCGCGCTGCGGCTGTTTTTGTCTATTTGCCAGGAATCAAAGCTTATTTGCCAGGAATTAAAGGAGAAAAGATCGAACGATCTTTTCTCCTTTAATTATTTGGGAGTACTTTGAAAATTCAGACATTTTTATAAAACAATTTAAACCCTAAATTCTAATTCCAGAAAATCTCTGACGCGAACGACTACAGCAGCGGCTCGCAGCTGGCCAGCGAGCTGATCGAAGTCGCAGATATCTACGAAAAATGCTTCGAAAAATATCTACCTCACGCCCGTGTATACAACGAAAATGTACAAAAGTTGAAGGAGTACACCGCGAGATTTATCGAACGATTTAATGCGCAACCGGATTCTTAGATTTTGGAGTTCAGTTCGTATTTGTATTTAATTTGTGTCGATGTGTGCCTTTGGAATAATATGCCTTTGCTTCTAATATTTGTATTTACCATGTGTCTTTACAGTGTTGATGTAGTGATAAATATGTCAACGATACCTTAAAAGAGGGGATGTCATAGATAAGAAATAAACATTTAGACAATCAAAATCTATATGGGCCTGCAGGGGCGGAGACAAAAATTAGCGAAGCAATTTTATCAGCGTGTCTTTGGTTTTCAATTCACAAAAATCACAAAAAGATGTTCTGAAAACCACGACTCAATGGGGCCGACCGAAAAATGTTGCCTAAATTACGGCCACAAATTTTGCATAAACTATCATTTCCGAGGGTTCTCCATCGCAACAAATTTAGCATAGCCGAACCGGAAGTTGCCCCACATTAGCATTTAAAATTCGGTAGAAAATGAATTTCCCCACATTGGCGCATCACACGAATCCGTCCTCGGCCACGGATGGTCGTCAGCATGCTGCGCCAATTGATGCTCGTCGGTCTTCTCCTGCTCCTCGCCATCCACCTTCCCGGCGCTGATGCTCAAGAGGTGAAGGTTTGACTCAAGGTTTGAGCCTCGCCTTCAAACCTTTTATTTTGATGGCGATATCAAGCATTCTTTTGCAGGGCTGCCCGGAAGGCTACGGTCGACCTCTCGCCTGCTTCGTCGTCAGGGATCCGGAGCAGCGGTCGGCCGCGGATGTAGGTTTCATCTCACTCTCTCTTGCTCGCTCTCTTTCTCTCTCTCTCTGTCTCTCTCTCCGGCCCTGCTCTACCTCTCTCTCACTACCACTGTTTCAGAATGCCCTCTGCCACTGCCCTGTGGCCCCCGATGCGGTCTGCGACAACCATTCGTTTATCAAGGTAATAATCGTCACTCATTACTTTCTAAACCTCTGATTTTAGGTTTTCAACAAGACGATGTGGCTGAACTGCAACTTCGACCTGTTCATCGAGAAAGAAGGGGGATGCTCGACGAAGGATCAGCCAAAGGATGGGCCGAAGGGGATCTGTCTGGCCGGATGGGAGCACGCCGCTGTTCCGCCCGATCCCACCACCACTACATCGGTTTGGCAATGTCATAATCTTGGGATACGGATTTTAGACGACAACCACCACCACCACGACAACTACGACAACTACCACCACAACGACGACCACCACGACAACGACCACCACCACCACGACCACCACCACAACGACCACCACCACAACGACCACTACCACTACAACGACCACCACCACCACAACGACCACCACTACAACGACCACTACCACCACAACGACAACGACGACTACGACTACCACAACTACAACCACGACGACTACAACGACCACGAAGGCCCCTTTTGGCGTGTTCGTGCTCAAACCGGATGCCCGAAAGGTCGGTGGTTAAAATTGACGGGACGGACAGGATTTTTGTGCTCTGAACGTTTACGAAAGTTAATGAATGGTAATACGTTGCTTTGGTTTTCAGGGGGTCGCAATTTTTCGGTTCTGAACTGTTCGCGGAGGGGGCGGGGGGGGGGTAACACGAAATTTCCCCGAGTATTTTCGCACGGCCGTATAACAAAATATACACCGTTTTTATAGCATTTTGCTCAGGTTTTAGATATCAAAACCTTATCAAAACACTCCAACATGTTCGAAAATTGCGACTCTTTTGGATCAAAAAAATTATGTAAAATAAAATGACCAAAAATGGTCAACATTTTGAGTTTTCATTTTTTAAGGTATATATTTTAATTTTCCGGCAATCAAAAACTACCAAATAGCACTAAAAATACATAATAGGGGATGGGGCGATCAGCATAGGTGGGAAAACATAAAGGGGTTTTCCCGCTGCTAAACCCCCCTTCCCCGCTAGGCTATCGGTCCGGAACCAATTGTGGCACGGGGTCATCTGATTCCCCATTTCAGTGCAACACCTTGAAAGAACCCTTCGACAAGTGCATCGACTGCAACGTGGGAGAACCTGTTGCTGACGAAAGGAACATACAAGCGGGTCGCTGCCCAAAATGCGAAGGGATTGCCGTCGAGGATTGTCCGGTATGCTGTTGAGGCTTAACCCTGCGAAAATTGCGATATCGGGTCACGTCCTCTAGCGAGTTCTTACCGCTAGCTGTAAGGGTCAAAAGGGGACACAGGGGGTTAAAGGGGGTTTATTCCCCGGGGCGGGGCGCTCATTATTTTTTAATTTTTTTAAATTTTTAAAATTTCGTAAATCGGCCATCTTGAGCTACGGGTTCGTGAGATAGCCCATTCGAATGAGCATGTTTTTTTTTACTTCGGCGGACGCCTTCTCTCCCCACAAAAGTATTTTACTGAATTTTTAGAACGCTTGAAAGTAGGCAATTTCTGGCATTTTGGGTATTAAAAACGATTGTAACCTCTTAATCCGAGGGGTTCCGCAACTTTTGGAAACGGATTCGGAATCAGTGAAAAATTCTGCACAAGATGTGCTATCTGGCAAAACGAATTTCCACTTCGACCAAAAAAGGGTTACAGTCATAGATTTTTGTATAAGCAGAAAAACCATATTTAAAATATTTTTATTATAAAAACACTTTTTGAGTGTCCCTCTCTGGTTATCATATGTGTACCTTTCAGTTGATCATAGATGGTCCTAGAGATTTTCCGTGAATTTTTAGAATATTGTGCCCTCATGTTACACCGAAAGAACCGAAACTGTTTTCAGTGTGACGACGCGGATCCGTATTGCCTGAACTGTGCTCGTCCGGAATGGCAAGATCATCAGGACTGCCATGGGTGCTGGAGAGATGAAAATAGCGCTCATCCTTCCTGTCAAATAAGGTGCATCGTGGACAGTGAGGTAATACACAACCTAGCATGTTTTCGGCCCTTTCCGGTTTCCATAGCGCAGTTTAATTTTTTCGAATTGACGCTGTAATGCTTTTTTCCAGATCTACTATATGTCGAGGGATCCCAACTGTCGATACCACCATCTATATGCCGTCTATGTGCGCCGGTATCCTGGGGACGACGACTGGGTGAGCCAGCTGTTTTGCAAGAGTGTCCAGGGGACTATTATGACTAATGGGTTTCGCCCCCTGGCGACAACTTCCATGATCCCCGATAACAAAATTACCCTTAAAAACGTTAAATTTTACTAAGAACATTATTAAAACACTTTTTAAATAACCCAAGGGATATCAATGTAGAAGGGCATTTTTGAAAACATCTAGTAAACACTGGGATAATTGAGACGTCCACGGACCCTGCACTCCGTTTATTCGGCGCCTTTTGAGAAACTCACTTTCAGTGGCACTTCGGCCACACAGGCCCTTTCTACAAGCCAGAGAAGGTTCGTTCTTCAGTGCTCAGTTTTCTCAAACAACCTTTGTCGAAACACCGATAATGATAATTCTCCAGCGCATCCATCGTGATGTTGCTGCTTCTGGAGCGCCAATCAAGCGGATCCGCCTCCGCCAGCGCACCAAGCGAGATGACGACCCGAACGTGTTCATCTACTACCCGATCAACCCCACTTACAACCCCAAGTGCCGCCGGGAAGATTTTGATAAACTGGTTTGTTATTCACTTTTCTACAAGCGCTTTGGCTCTAGACTGCGAACGAACTTGCATTGGCATCGATGAAGCTGCATTTTGGATGTTACGAAGGGACATGGTGCGAGGAGCAGAATGCCTTTCCGAGGTATCATCACAATTCATTCGTTCCAACCATTCTCCATCCCTTTCAAGTGAAATCTTGGCCAATGCCTCCCTGGCCCGCATCTGCTACCCGCGTCCGTTAAAGACCTACATCCTCGGCAAGGGCAGATACAAGCCGGTGAGCATCGTTTCGTTAGAGAATCACATTGCGGTGACAATTCCCCGTCCGAAGTCTGAGGTTTTTTTCAGTGGTGCACCGATCCTCACGGCAATCAGTTCGAGCCGAGGAATGTGGCGAGTTGGGGATGTATGGTACTGCCGTTCTGCAAACTGGACCAACCAGGAGAATTCGATGAGTCAGTCCGCATCACAGTCTCATCCATTATCCCCTGTATTTTACAGACAAAAATACCTGAGACCTGTAGCTGAAAACGGAGGTCTGCTGAACTGCATGGATATTTGTCCAAGAAACGCGAATGGCCGTGGATTGACGGACAAACCGGATTGTCGACCCATCCCTAGCAATCCGGAAAACGACTATTTCGGTGTCCTCAGTATAACGGTAGATATCTCCTCTGATTCGCCACAATACTCTTTACAGGAAAAGATGGATTGGTGCGACGCGGAGAAGTCGACTCACAAAGACCCGTGGTCACTCAACCCACCGTGCAATCCGATTCCGCAGTGTCGAGGAAATGTCGAAGGACGTGCTGTGGGTTTTCTAGTCGTCATTCAGACAGAAGATGATCATCTACCACGAGACAATTGCCGTATTTCAGCCGGATACGAGGGATTGGCGCAAGAATCTGCTGTACTACCAGAAAAATGTCGCCGGTGTCCCATGCGTCGTCTACAAGCAGTGCAGTGCTTTGACGGAAGAGGAGAGGCTGAAAGTGGGAGAATTGTGAAGGGATAAGGGTAGATGAACACTTTTTTCAGTACCATTGCGTCGGCTCAATCATGACAACAAGTACGACAAAAGCCTCGACGACGACAACGGCAAAGACGACTGCAAAGACAACGACAGAGAAACCGAATGACGGGCTGGGGGATGAGGTCATCTTGATTGCAGGTAGAACATTTGGTTGTATTTGTTCACCTCGTTTCTGCAGCCTTGGGTGGCGGCCTCTGCGTGTTCATCATCGTGATCATCATCGTGTTGTGCTGTTGTCTGAAAAAGAAGGACAAGGGCCCGAAGGGCAAGAAGCCGATTGTCGATGACATGGTGGGTAGATGAGCGCTGCCTGCGGCTCATGTCAAATCCACAATGGCCTTTTTTTGTAGATGAACGTCGGCGCTGGCTCGGCGGTCGTCGACCTCGACGTGACGCCGATCAGCAACACCGAGGAGGGAGCAACGGATGCTAGCGAAAGCACTGGCGCAAAGTGTAAGTGCTCTGCGATATTTTGAGGAATATCATCTACTTTTCAGAACCATCCGACTACACATCTCCACCTACTCGACACAACGATGGGCATCGCCATCACTCGACTACCACCCAAAAATACCCGATGCTACACCAAAAAACGCCCCTCTAGAAGCCCCGCCCCTCTATCCCCATCTCTCTGTATTTTCTTTTGTAAATCTATGTTTGTCCATCATTCTGTTTGCCATCGCATGTAGTTTGTACCTCCGTCCCTTCGTAATAAATCGGGTGCTTGGGCTGTCATGCAGTGACATGACATGTCGACATTGTGCTACTTGGCAAGGAAGAACACGGATCTTAGAAGGCCTTGAAGTCAACGTTGTGCCTCGCGATCGTCGTGATTCCACTATCAAAATCTAGCTTGGAACGTTTTCTACCGCTCGTCTGGTGGAGAAATGGTCAAAGTTGAAAACAGTCATTGATTTTTTTATTTAAAGGCGCTTTAAAGGGGCTCGGAAGTCAAAATTCGTGCGTGGAGGGATTGAACCTACGGGTCAAAAAAACAAAAGGGTCGCTGCCGAGGAGTGCCAGAAAAGTGATTTGATTGCGAAAAAAAACGTAAAATATTTGAGAAAAACTTAATTCTTTTTGGGGCGAAAACGACCTTTTGAGTGGGCGGCGATTACATGTCGTAGTGCCTCGTAAGGCACCCAATCTCTCGATCTCGGCGATTCTCTGATCAATTTTCATAATTTAAAAGTCTGGAATGATCCAAATTCGTTGAGGATTCCAAAAATCGCATCAGAATTTTTAAATTCAAGCGTTTTCGCGTCCAAACAGGGGCAAAAGACCATGCGGCGCGGTCGCATCTGGCTATTTGCCAGGAATCACAGCAGGGGGCCGTGGACCAGATTTCGGAGCCCCTTTAAGGAGCAAGGAATTTTGTAAAATTTTGCGGTCTACAAGCTAAGTTTGCTCAATTTCTCCACGGAAAATCGCCGGAACTGGCCGTTAATTAGATGCAAATGCGGTTCCTTAATGTTATCAAATGCGTGGTAAAATCGCAGGTTTAGATCAAAAGATGATTTGAAGATCGTTGCAAACTCGCCGTTTTAAGTGCTTTCGACTGGTGGAACTTTTATTCCGGTCCGATACCTGAGGAGGGGGTGTGTTTATTGGGACACCCTGTAGTATTTTTAGACTTCTATTCGCCCATTTCTACCGAATAAATATTTATTAATTATTGCAAATAGCATTGTAATAGATCTAGCGTTGGATAATCTTCTGGCATATACAATTATTTAATCATGCGCCAAGCCTGCGCAAAACGATTCTTTGTTAACAACAGGTCCATTTACGGAAAAACACTGGTTTGAACGCTCTCCTGATTCGCCTATAAATAACAAGCCATTCCTCGACCAAACCATCGATCAATTTTCTATCTACGATCGAGGCAGAGCTACGCAAAGCTGCAAACCTACGCCTGAAAATCGTGCGAACGATTGGAAAGCGCTGATCGACAAATTTAATGGCGGGTGGAAGATTGTCTTCAAAAAAATAGGAACTATCGAGCGAACGTTGTGGGTCGAATGGTTCCTTGAGATCGTAGTACGCTTCTACGGTTTGTGCGGCCTTGAGCTCATCTTCAGACGGTTTCCGTAAGTGGATCCAGGGACCGGGCGGGGGAAAGCCGAGAACCGCTCGCATCTCCTGATTGCCAATGATCTGCACGGCCATTTCCGTCAGTTTATGCGTTTGCATTCGGACCACTGAGAATCTAAACGGAATAAAGGATTAATTTAAACCAGGGTTAACAAGGCGCTTCGCAGCTTTTCACCCCTGGCCCTGTCTGAAGGTGTTATAGTCGTCACTTTGCATGATCTCATGAATTCCTATGACAAAAAGGTAAGAGTTTACTTTACCCCCTCCGCCACAGCCGAAGGGTTTCGAAGTTTTCGGTATATTTGCTATTTTTGTCGGGATTTTTGCAATCCGATTCGATAGAGGATCAAAAATATACCAAGAGCTTTGATTTGAGCCTAAAATAATGTATTGGGTTGGACCGAAAGTTCTTGTAATATTTTTGACTCTTTCATATTTTCTTTCCAGAAAACGAGTCAGAAATAAAATGTTTTTGCGATAGACGCATGCACTATCAAATGCTCTATTTGGCCCGGGGGTCGGAATCAAAAGGCGTTTCCTTTAGAATTTTTTTCCGTTTGATTTACAATAAACTGGAACATCGCCTCGTTCCGCCGTTCTCCAACACGTTCCGATTTACTTCTTTGCCTTTTTCCGCATTAAATTAGTTGCCAAAACGTATTATCATGATAGTATCTCATTCCTATGGTAACTTTATGGCTCTTCGGAAAGATGTCAGGGTCTAAAATTTGAGACCCCTCAGACAAAAACACAAAAATAATAAAAATCTCTGGGGCTAAAAGCTTGTAATTTTTATCCAAGGTACTATTGAAGTCAACAAATATATTGAAAAAGAAACAACCTTGGCGGTGCACAAAACCTTTAGAGAGGAATTTCCGAAGTTCGATTATAAGGACTTTCGGTCCAACCTAATAAAATAAAGTAGTTATGGCCAAAACAGTCCGGCTGGGGGGGGGGGGGGGGTAAAGTAAACCGTAGCCCAAAAACCGTACGTAAACGTAAAAAACCGTAACTGAAATTTAGGGTTTAGAACAGCTTATTTAGCAAAAGCCTACATGCTTTCGGTCATCCCAGAGCCATTACGCACCTAATGACGTATCATTCGTAGCTTAAAATCCATTCCCAATCGAGGTATCCTGTGGATGACGTGGTGACGGAAGTTGCACGTAAAGTCCCACAAACACACACAGGCACAATATTTTAACATTTTCTCGCTTCGCGGGTTGTAGGTCACCTTTGTGGTTTTTGCTTTGTTTGAAAAAATTAAAAAAATAGACGAAACACAGCGCCGCAAGCAGAAAATAGGTTGCTAAGCGGAAAACCGCCCAAAAGTAGGCAAAATAGCGTCGCAATATCGCCTATTTTTCTCAGAGATTTCACGCTTTTCGCAACGAAACGTGACTATTTTCGCAACGTAACGAAAGCGGCCACATTACGTCCATATATTATGGCAGTATCTCAGCTCCTTACGGAAATATATTCCCAGCCAACAGCTCGTGCTCCGTGTTGTTGAGGCAGGTTTGAGAAATGTTAGCCAGTTCTTTTCGGAATTCAATGTCGGGATATGAAGGCAAGGTGGTCGTCTCCTTTGCGTCATCGCGATTGTCGGGGCCGCTCTCCGTCGATGCTGAGATGGCCGCAATACTGTGGTTAATACTAGTGCTGCATTCTGAAAACCATGAATTAGGTTTGATGAAAATCGGGCGTAAAATGGTTTGCTTGCGTTAGTTAAATTTGCCATCACCACATTCCCTTCCGAACGATCCCGAAAAATGTTGACGCTTACCTGCTGATGTGAGAGCAGCGAAAATGATCAGGAGAAGAAAGGCTCGTTCCATAGTTTCGTTTAGAAATAATTTATTTTGAGACATTCAAGGAAGTTTGTAAGCGGAAGCCGGACGGACAGAAAAGTGTTTGAGCCCAATTATTAAAATACCAGATGGTTACAGTCGCTTCGCGACTGCAACCATCTGGCCTTCGGGCTACCCTACATGTCCCACTCCACCACATCCTTTCCCACCTCCATCAATACCCCCCATGGCTGAAATCCCCTTCAAAAACTACCTAAACACCTTCCCGATGGCTTTAGATAACCCCCATGGCTGAAATCCCCTTCAAAAACTACCTACATACCTTCCTGATAGCTTCAGATACCCCCCATGGCTGAAATCCCCGTCAAAAACTACCTAAATACCTTCCCGATGGCTTAAGATACCTCCCCTAGCCGAAATCCCCTTCAAAAACTACCTAAATACCTTCCTGATGGCTTCAGATACCCCCCATGGCTGAAATCCCCGTCAAAAACTACCTAAATACCTTCCCGATGGCTTAAGATACCTCCCCTAGCTGAAATCCCCGTCAAAAACTACCTAAATACCCTCCTGATGGCTTCAGATACCCCCCATGGCTGAAATCCCCGTCAAAAACTACCTAAATACCTTCCCGATGGCTTAAGATACCTCCCCTAGCCGAAATCCCCTTCAAAAACTACCTAAATACCTTCCTGATGGCTTCAGATACCCCCCATGGCTGAAATCCCCGTCAAAAACTACCTAAATACCCTCCTGATAGCTTCAGATACCCCCCATGGCTGAAATCCCCGTCAAAAACTACCTAAATACCCTCCTGATGGCTTCAGATACCCCCCATGGCTGAAATCCCCGTCAAAAACTACCTAAATACCTACCCGATGGCTTTAGATGATTTAAATAATTAATTAACATAATTAAAAAGTATTAAAAAGTATTAAAAGTATTAAACTAACTTAAAAAAGCTATCTGGGCGCGCGAAGGGGCCTGGGGAAGAGGGGCGAAGGGAAAGGGGGCGTGGCCTGCCGGGAGAGGGACCCCCCCCCCCAATCGCCACTTTCAAAGTTAATTTTAATGATTTAAACTAAAACTTTTTCATAATTTTTTTATCAGTTTGGGGGTTTCTGACCACGCTCTATCCGAATCCGAAGAGAGCTAAGCTCTAGCTCCTTTCCCCTTCGAGTTGAATTCGGCTTCACACAGACAGACGGACGGACGCGTCAAGAAAATTATTATAGTTGATTCCCGAAATGTGAGGCTTGAGTGTATGCATCCAATCAGGATGAGAAGAGGGATAGCTCGACCTGATTTTGATATTGTGAGAGAAGGTCAGAGAGGGAGTGAGAGGGCGATAGTGAGAGAGAATGAGAGTGAGAGAGATAGCGAGAGAGAGTGAGAGAGAGACAGACAGACAGAGAAAGAAAGCGAGAGAGCGAGAGAGCGAGAGAAAGCGAGAGGGAGAGAGCGTAAGAGAGAAGATACTACCTCCAAGAAACTTTTGCATAAGGCTTTACTTTACCCTTCCCCCCAGCTGGAAGTTCCGGAATGATTTTCGCTACAACCTTTTGGGC